CCAGTGTTTAGGGGGCTTATTCATTAATTTACTTGAAAATTTCAAATCACCATTAGATGATTAAGTGTCGTACCGGTCGCTGAATGCTTACTTTAAGTGTTATAAGAATCTTTTACTGAAATTTATTTGTGATCAATTTTGTCAGGTAAGAAAACTTCAGAGTCTGATATCTACTTCACTAACACAGTTTAGCGAAGCTGATATATAATCAAATACAGACTTACTTTCAAAACTTCTTACTGTTACTAGTACTGCTATTCGACTAACCTTTTCCAAACACTTGAATATCCGGGATGGATTATATTAGTTTCTAAATTGTTTATATAATACACTATCTGTACTAACATTTCTTACACTAAAATATTTTCCTAACAGTCTAGTTAATATATCAGTGTATCAATAATAGGGTCACTGTTATTATTTTGCCTGGAATGAAACGGATCAACTGTGTTGTATATTTGATGTGTGGATGACCGTTTCAGGATTTAAGCTTCCATGCATCTCTGGTGAAAGTAGACTGACTACAGAACCTGCTTAGTGGAACATATAAATCACAAATGAGTGATGCACGACTACAGTGAGTAGTCGTCAATGTATTGTCCAGCATAGCTGGCTTGGTCAGACTGTTAGTAAGAAGAAAAGCTATTGAGTTAGAGGTGACCTAATTTTGATTGACTGTTGGTCTCATTTACAACTGTACGATAGAAATAATTAAGACATTGAATATCATCGGCTAGGAATGTGTATTAGTGATTAGTGTTGATAACAAGACATTTTATACGCTATTGTCTAAAGATTTCTCCACGCGGTTTCGAACAGTCTAAATGTTAGATGATTATTTCCCTTAGATGCATACAAAATAATTTACACTGAACCTGATAAAATTCAGCCTGGCCTACGCCACATGTATAATCAATCAGAGTTGATAAATCATAACCTAAGTAAATAGTTTCTAGTTGGTTTTAAATTTGTACAGTCTCTATAAATTGTAATTGATTATCAACTGGTAAAGTGAACTCTGAAGGTCAGCAGCTACCGTGTCTAACTGTCTGCCTTGTTTAGTTTTTCAATGCATACCATAACTTACATAATCACATTTTTTTCATGAATTACATTTTTGTCCTGATTATATGGGACATAAGGAAATGATTTAGATGTTGAGTAATATATGTGTATTAATCATTTTCGATTAGGTATAGGCTTAAGACTTCATAGAGTAATTATACATCTGGCTTACGTTTTACGTAGGCCTATTAGTGTTTTTACATGGTTGTACTTTTATTCCTGTGATCATGTGTTTAAAGATAAGTAAGCCCAACAGTGGACTCTGTTTGAAAGATGTTGTTACAACATAGTAATGCAGAACATATTTCCCATTTACGAGGAAATAAGTCACACTTTACTGTATAAAGTCTGACAATGTCTAACCACATGTCCAAGGTGCCCAAGAAGTAGTTGATGCGGGATTCGGACCCGGAACCGATCGACTGGAAGTCAAGTGCTTAAGTCAATGAGTGATACACCTTCATAATAGTTACACATGAAATGAATCTGGCTCAAAAGTCTAGTATTCCACTAATGAGATTTATGTTTTTATCGTATACTTCTTTGCAGTTAAATAAATGAAAACGATCTCTTATATATGTGATTCATTTTAGCCTTTAAGCTGAATGTTCCAGTTTGGTGTGTTTTATGCGGATAAGTACATTCTGTGATTATCTTAATTTATGTAAATTATTATATTCTGTATGGATAACCAAGTAGTTGTTTCTGTGTGTGTGTGTGTGTGTGTGTGTGTGACATTTACTCATTTATGCTAATGAAATCAAAATAGACTATAGTGATCAGATCTATCCGATCTCCTGAGCGACAGCCTTCTACATAATATGGAATTCTTTTTTTGGTATTTGTTCTGTGAATATCGTCGTAAAACATTGTGAACTATCAGTATGATTTTAAGATATACGTTCAAATGATCTTGTTGTAATTGGTGACAAAATAACTCTGTGTGTGTGTACGTGTGTAACATTATTTTGTCTAATCGATTATTATTGTAGTGTGTTAGCCTGCCAAAAAAAACTGTACGATCTAGTTTGATGTGTAAACAAATGACTAATTTCTCGTCATAACAATATATATATTGATGAGATAATGACTACGATGTCGGACAGATATTGTTTTTACTGATGCTTTAGAAAAAAATCTCAACTACGTAGATGCGTTTCTGTATGTCTAATTATTCTGATGTGGAGCAGCCTGTGTTTTCTGCACATCTGTATGTGTTTTATGAGTGAACAAAGAAAGGCATACTGTTTGAATTAATTTAATTTTTAAGATATAACAGAAGCTACAGAGAAGTAATGTTGTTAATCTATTAAAGATGACCACTTTTCTGATCATCAGATTGATTTGTAAGGTATTTAGGTGTGGTTTGTTTTTGCTTGATGTATTTAAAATTCCTGAAAAATTATAATTAATGTGAGGAGAGATATTAGATAGCTTAGTGTTACGACAAAAAACCCATACAAATAAATTGCTACAAATCATTAAATTGTTGCGTGCTTTGGTTGAGAGAATTTTAAATGATCTGATTGTTACAGTTTGTAAAGTCACTAAACTAGTATACCGTAAAGTCAATTGGCCCATGGTGATTAGCAGTGGTATTCAGGGTGCGCATCTCATCCTACTTGGGACTCGTCAGTTTGATATACCTGCATTCCCAGTGAGTGATGGTGTTCCCACCGAGGCTTGAGTACAGTCAAAGGGGGAAATCTGAAATTAATAAGACCCGTTGCACAAGATGTGGCTTTTGTGACCCAAGTGGTCTGGCGGATAATGCTTTAGCATTTGAAACTGTGGGCACTGGGTTTGAGCCCGGATAGGAACCCCATCAAGTAGGACGAAATGCACACCCTGGATTCCACTGCTAGTTACCATCCACCTATTGACTACAGGTTACATGACCAGCTTTCGTTGGAGCGTCTGCACAAGGAGCCGACATGTCAACTTGAAACCGAGCATTTCGGTCCAATCAATTGACAGGAACATCTGAAATTGAACTAAGTCGTCTACCTTAAATTAAGAGTTACTAGATGTGTAGCACAGAATGTGACCATTTTTATTTATTTTGAGGATGCTCTTCACTTACAAAAGGCCTAAAATATTCATGAGATTTGTGGTATAGAAACATGAAGTTTTTCTGTTGAATAAAACTCTGAAGTGACATATGGAGTACTTGATGAAATGAGCTTTTCAATTCCTTCATGCATGAAAAGAGTTAAGGATGGTCAAATCAAACCTGGTATCAACATGTGAAGTCTTTGACTGTTGGTTTGAATTGTGTCAGAAGTTGTAGATAATAGTAGGAAAAATTAGAGAATCGTCGGGTGTGAATCAATTTTTAAGAATTTTCCAATAATCAAATGAATGTTCATTTTTCTGTTCATCCAGAATAATGTTTTAAAAAGCATATTTAAATTTTGAAGTTATATTTGTTACTTCTGTCTCCTTTCGATTGGCAGAGAGCAAAATTAATGCAGCTCACAAGAATGAGTTTGGCACCCGGATAAGTTTTAGTAAGAACAACTTTTATGTACTCGTCCGTTCATTCGTTTTGATGTATCATAGCTAGATAGTGGCGGACTTTTTTCGACTTAAGTGACATTGTTTTCGTTATCATAACGTCTTCCTTGATCCCTGGCTAATGAATTACCTTAGATAAACATTTTAAAACGAATCCTTTTCAAGAGCAACAATCTCAGCATGTACTCTACCTACAGAGCGAAGTTTTTTCTACCATCTCAGTAACTTAAATAATCTTTGTTTAAATTTCAGTGGACAGAAACTACCATATTATTGAATTGAATTTTTGATTTTCCCGTCGATTGATTGGACCGAAGTTCTCGGTCTCAGGTTGACATGTCGGCTTCTTGTGCAGATGCTTCGACGATGTCTGGGGATTTGATTTGTATACAATTGGTGGATGGTGGCTAGCAGTGGAATCCACTGGATTCCACTGCTAACCACCATCCACCAATTGTATAGAAACTACCATAGCTAAAATACTGTCTGATTTCTGTTTCTTGTCAGTAAATATTTCCCTCGATTCTCTTATTGTCTCTTATAATCTACAATTTAAGAAAGTAGAACATATTTACCACCCTTATATTGCATCGGGAAACTAATATTTCAATGTGCACTGTTGTAATTTCTCAAAAATAAATTCCCTACGGTTAATATACACTATGTGTATGTGTTCTTGTGATGTTATAATCATGCGGTAAGATTTACTGAGTGTATATTTACTTGCGATTAATAAAGTTTACCAAAAAAAGAGTTTTATTTAATCTCCAGAGAGTACTCCCTCTCTTGATAATAATATACACATATCATACATGAAATAGTTATTTCTTGCCCTATCGACATGGTTTACAATGTCATCAGTAACGTAATATACTAACTGTTTTCAGCCCACTTCCACAGAAAATTCGAGTTTGCAGGAAAACAAGAAAACAAGTTTCAAAATACAAAAGAAAGGGAGTTAATTGAAGTGAAGTAAAACATGTTTGGATGTGCTGAATTCACCTATAAGCCAACTGGTTATCAGTCAGTTTCATATCAATTTCATCTACTGATGAATATATGAATATTTGGGATTTGTGCTTGCTATTGGTCACATTGAATAAGCTTGAGCAACATGACTATTTGAAAGGATTGTTCAATAAACAGGTGGAATTAAGCTCTGTTTTGGGTAAATTTTTTTACATCTAGACAATTAAGGTTTTTTCTCAACTAAACCGTGTTAATTATCTTGTCCGATTCCTTATATCACAACATATCTTCATCTTACCTGTTGATTATCTTGATGTTCGATATAGAATTATCATCAGTAATAAAAGTTTCTTAATTAATTTGCAGTAATATAATAAACATAGCTTCTATGAATCCATTTTGTGTACATGAACCTCGATGCTGTTCTAAATCATTTCTTATCTTTTTAGATACAACGGAAAATAAATAGTTCTCAGGGTGGCAGTCGTAATCTGCCAAGTGCTCCGGCACCTCCTCCAAGACCACCACCTCCCCCGCCGCCTCCTGGAGCTCGACGACCTCAGCCGGCTCCCGTTGCACCCGGCCCACCATTAACTATACATCATCCACCTCCACCTCCTGTTCCTCAGGTAGCACCGAAACCAGTTGCACCACCACCGCCTACTTTACCGGCTCCTCCGCTCTATGAGATACCTGCTCCGCCTCCACCTCCGCCTGCTATCTCTAACTCTATACCTGCTCCTCCTCCACCTCCGCCTGCCTTCCCTAACTCTATACCTGCTCCTCCTCCTCCTCCCCCACCAATACCATCATCATCTGCGCCTGCTGGATCTGGAAAAGATAATTCATCGAATGCAGCTGCCGCGAAACCAGTAGTTGGTTTGACTGTCGATCTTCAATCTGAAATCATGTCCTTCCAAAAGAGTAATTTACGCAAAGTGAGTACCAGTTCGCCATTTGCCTACTATATCATTTTGTTATGATGTCGCTGATATAATATTTTACCAAATTTTGTTGCTTTTAAACTATTTCAATCCAAGTTAGGATATATTATGTTGTAGAAAACAATCGGAAAGATATAATTCTTATTAGAATAAATTACAATCAGCAGTAATAAAATACTAAGTGTGTTGCCTTTAGTTCACCACATGTGAATATAAAATGAACATTCTCTACTAAAGATAAGCTATTATTCGCTTTCTGTGCCTTCTTTGGTTCTCTTTTCCACCAGTAGTCTTCCGATATCAGCATAGAATGTCACAGTATTCACCTGATTTCATTCGGAATGTAGTGGTGAAATCAGCTGGTAAGGTTGGTGTTATTCTTAATAGAATGGATACTAGGACACTAATGGTGAATTAAGTAGAAGTAATACTCCTAGCTAATGGTCGACTCATCTATCTACTTTATTCACGTTTACAAATGATGAAATCTCAAAGCGACGTTCTTGTTTAGTAAAATATTGATATCCACCACATATTTGAGTAACATTTTCAAATTTGGTTTGATTTCATCTTTAAAGTCAGAATTATATCTCACAGTATTTGAGTGACTGAATACTTTCAACGTAGAAATTTTCACGGATGTGCAGTTGTTCGAGTTGTCGCTCTCTATGTAACAAACAAAACAAGAGAAGAGAGTAAGGAAAGATTCAAAAGAGAGGTAATAAACGGATATCTGAGTGAGAAAAAAATACTAATATGGAAGAACAATAGAGTTTTATTGGATATTATAAATCACAAGGAATGGATGTATCTGAGCTCATTGACAATTATTTTGAGCTATATCATATCTTCACCCTCCGACAGATTCTAGAACATAGGCATTCCTACCGGCGTCCAACAGTCATTATATTTCTTGACCTAAAGGCAGCATTCGACTCTGTCGATCGAGAAGTTCTCTGGAGATGCTTGGCTGTAAAGGGAATTCCAAGAAAATATATTGCACTGATTAAGGCACTCTACTCGTACTCATACAGCCAGGTGAGGGCTTACGGCGAGCTGTCATCTGAACTGATGACGACCAGTGGTGTCCGTCAAGGATGCCCATTATCCCTTTTCTATTCAACTTCATCATAGATGTACTAATGGCCTTAACCCTAAGTCACTTCAGCGACTCAGGGATTGACTTGCTACCACGGAATAATCTCGTTGACTTAGAATATGCAGACGATATAGTCCTTCTGGGCGAAGACGCTGACGAAATGCAGAGTCTTCTAAACACCTTGAGCAGGAATCTACGAATGTTTGGCAAGCGATTCGCTCCCGCCAAATGCAAGGTGATGTTACAGGACTGGACTACATCGACGCCTAGTTTAAAAATAGGAAGTGAATTGGTAGAGCACGTTGACCGCTTCACTTATTTGGGAAGTACCATCAGCCAGTGACGACGGGTTGATCTTCGACGAAATCTCAGCACGAATACAAGGAGCTCGTTTCGCATTTGTTAGTTTACGCCGACTCTGGCGTAGACAAGATGTTCGACTATCGACCAAAGGGCGGGTGTACTGCTCATCAGTCCGCTCCGTCCTCCTTTATGGTTGTGAGACCTGGCCACTGAGAGTGGAAGACATGAAAAGACTAGCTGTCTTTGATCATAGGTGCCTGCGTTCTATTTCCCGTGTAAAGTGGCATAATAAGGTGAACAACATGGAGGTTAGGCGTAGAGTTCTAGGTAAACAGGGGAAATCAATCGACGAAGTCGTGAAGCTACATAGACTGAGATGGTTAGGACATGTGTTACGTATGCCAAGCCATCGCCTCCCTCGACGAGAAATGTTAGCGGATATAGGGTCAGGCTGGAAAAAAGCTAGCGGCGGTCAAACAAAAACTTGGCATCAGTCGATGAAATCCACAACAGTTGGTCTAAGCCACGTAGGAAGGTGTAGACTTCCAGGCTGGGGTCCTCGGGACGGTAAAAATCTATGGTTGGAAACAATTGGTGACATGGCTCAAAATCGTTCTCAGTGGCGCAGATGCATCCACTCCCTGTGACTTATGATCTCCAATAAAACAGTTTTGTATTTCTTTATTACTCCTTTGTCTCACACCTCTGCTCACTGTTTCTATTATGCTTTTCTTGTACTTTCTTCTCTTGCTTCGCGTGCTACAAGGAGGTAGTGTGGCGACTTGAACTTCCGCACATTTGTGCAAAGTTCTATGTCGAAAACAGATATCACCAATTGTCTCCAGCCATTGGTTTTTACCATCCTTAGGACCCCAACCAGACACCTACACCTCCGACGTGGCTTAAAATAATTGTAGTGGATTTCATTGACTGGTGAAGCCCTGGGTTGGTTTGACCAACCCCCTTTAGCTCTTTTCCAATCTGATCCTATGTTGTCGTGGAAGGAAGACGATGACCTAGGCATACATAACACATGTCACAGAAGGATTATCTTGACCAACCTGTTATCTAGACTCAATAATAATGCGCAGACTAGATGGTGCTCGGAAGGAACAAATGCGAGAGAACCAGGAAGAGGATGTATTGATCATATTCTTGAACATAGGCGAACTTACTGGCGTCCAACGATCGTTATATTTCTCGAGCTTAAAGCGCCATTTGATTCCGTCGACCGAGAGGCTCTATTGCGATGTTTGGCTCTTAATGGAATACCATGAAGATACATCGCATTGACCAAGGCGTTGTAATCGAACTCGTACAGCCAGATAAAAGCCTACGGAGAGTTATCATTTGAAGTGATGACAACTAAAGGTGTCCGTCAGGGATGCCCATTATCCCATTTCTATTCAATTTCATCACATACGCTAATGGGATTAACTCCAACTGACTTCAGAGATTCAGGGATTGGCTTGTTACCAGGGAATAATCTCGTTGAATTAGAATATTCTCAGCAGTTCTCTCTGTCCTTCTTTGTGTCTGTGAGCGAGACCTGGTCATTGAAAGTGGAAGACATGAAAAGATTAGCTATCTTTGATCATAGATGTCTGCGTTCCATCTCCCGTGTGAAGTGGTATAACAATGTGAGCAATATTGAGGTTAGGCGTCAAATGTTAGGTAAGAAGGGGAAGTCAGTTGACGAGGTTGTGAAGCTACATCGACTGAGATGGTTAGGATATGTGTTTCGTATGCCTAGGTCATCGTCTTCCTTCCACGACAACATAGGATCAGATTGGAAAAGAGCTAAAGGGGGTTGGTCAAACCAACCCAGGGCTTCACCAGTCAATGAAATCCACTACAATTATTTTAAGCCACGTCGGAGGTGTAGGTGTCTGGTTGGGGTCCTAAGGATGGTAAAAACCAATGGCTGGAGACAATTGGTGATATAGCTCAAAATAATTGTCAATGAGCTCAGATACATCCATTCCTTGTGATTTATAATATCCAATAAAACTCTATTGTTCTTCCATATTAGTATTTTTTTCTCACTCAGATATCCGTTTATTACCTCTCTTTTGAATCTTTCCTTACTCTCTTCTCTTGTTTTGTTTGTTACATAGAGAGCGACAACTCGAACAACTGCACACCTGTGCAAAGTTCTGCGATGAAATTAGTCAGGCAGTCATGAATGTATCAGTCTTTGGACAACCTGATATACCTCTAGTTGTTTGTTTATGTAGGTTTACTGTGTAACAAAACAGGTGGCTTACATTTGTGATCGACTTAAAAGTTTCTACCTCTTTTCAGTTGGGTGTTATTTTCGCTTCATTGTAAAGTTAAACAACTTCAGTGTCAATCAGCAGTACTGCTTATAAAATCCAAAGGCATGCGTGTGCTTATTGAAATAAATCAAGTAAAAATTGAGCTACAAGGGAATTATGTTTTTGATACTCAAGGGATGCAGAGTATGTAGAAGCACTTGCATATTAGAATGGTGAGATAAACAAATCTAATTACCTGGTTAATTTCATCATTTATTTCTGTGCTTTGAGGCTTCTGTAGCGATTGGATTCTTTTCCTAGGGTCGCGTCTCTAGCCTAACGTTCTTTCCTTTACCGAAAACTAAGGATCGGTTAGTGAATTAGTAAACTAGGCGGGACTAAAATTTGTCATGAACCAACCTGTCAACGTCACGTTATGCGTAAAGTCTGAACTAGGTGGAGGTGGGAATTAAACCCATGATCTTCTGACTGAAAGTCCGCCTCTGAAACCAGTGAACCACGTTCCTATTCTTTAAAAATCATTTTCTGTGAGGGAATTTTCCTATCAAATATAACTTGTCCTTGTATTTCAGATTACTCCTGGTGAAGGTGTGAATAAACCACCAGTAAAACCTGCCAGTGGCAGCGGAGGACAAGGAGGCGGTGGTAGTAGTGGTATTGGAGGCAGCACTAGTTCTGGATTCGACCTTCTCCAGTCACTTGCTCAAGCCATGGAAATGCGACGTAATCGGATGTGCAGTAATGACAGTGGAGAAGAATCCGATGAAAACTCTGCACCAGGTGATGCTGAATCAGATGATGACTGGGAAACGTAGGTGAAGCAGATATGTGTTGGTTCGATAGAATGTGTTTCGTAATCCCGGGGTTATATTGCTTTAGTCTGTGCACGCATTGACTTTCAGTTATCTAATAGTTTCAATATTGCAACTGAGAATCAGCTGTCAATTTCAGTAAAGGCATAATATTTATCCTCTTCGTTTTGTTCATAAACACACAGACAAACAGTCGACACCATCAGTACCTTACACCACACATCATATATAGTTGTAATTTGTATGTCTACCTGCACACAAATGGATTGCTCATCTTTTAAATTTCTCTCTTTGCACTATTTTCTTTCACCATCATCACTACAAGTCAATCAAAGTGCCTTCTCTTTTTTTGATCTTATACTGCTCTAATTTGATCAAAAACCATGCATATCTCTTCTGTTTTTGTTTTCTGTTAAAAAGTAATTTTGTAGTAGTATTGGTCGTTTTTTATCACTGGAGAGAGACTTGATTTATTTTTGCCTTTCTCTACTTCCTGATTTATGTTTTCCATAAACTGTGTTTCTTTTTTGTGTTTCTGCTATTATGCCTGTTTCTGTTAACTTGTGATTCTTTGACCATCGTTGCTTATCTCTATTTATTATCGTAAACATAATTGATACTAAAATATTACAGTTGATGGGTTTGTTGTGTAGCAGAGGTGTATCAATGTCTGTGATGTTGACACTATACTGTATACACATTTTGGTTACTTTTCTTTTTCTTAAATGATTTTATTATGTTGGCGTCATCCTCATTATGACCAAGAACACAATGTAACTGGTTGCATACACAGAGGTTATCAGTATTTCAGTTTAATTGTGACATTACTAGTATCAGCTTTCCACGTAAGCCTGTTTAATGACGAGTATTCATATGCACATTTTTTTTATAATAAAGAAATACACGCTCTCAGATGACAACTTACTTTTCAACATTTGATACTTGTGATACTCATTTTTATTTTAGTAACCATTTAACTATTGGTCCTGGTAAACTGAAATAAAGTAAAAACGTATATGAAACATACCTGAAAGTCCTTTTTCGCAGGCAACGTTTCAGACAAAATTTTCCTTCCGTGACCAAATCCAGACAAATTTGTAACTAAAAACGTCAGGGACCTCCAACTGACATCAGATTCCTATAGATCACCCGTGTAACTTCATTTCAGATGTACTACTAAAATCATACGTTTACTCGAAATTAATTTTATGCGTCTCTACTACTGAATGTTTTCACATGCTATAATATGGATGAACGAAAAAAATTGTGTTCGATTCTTCACACATCTAATATAAGATGACGCTTTAGCACTGGTCTGTAACGAGTCGTACTTATGGAAAGCTTAGGTGTAATGTAAGGATCTGGTTACTACATAGTCCTAAAACCTATTTGACATTTGCCAACTGGCTTCATCTCGGGCGCAGCCGAGATATCCCGATACTTATCGGCGAGTGTGTATACTTTGCGAGAAGTTCTCTGTGTCTTACATTAGGGTTGTGTAAGTTAGAAGACATGAGGAGACTACAGGCTTTTTACTCTTAGGAGTGTTTGGTGAAAACAAATGTAGGCAGTGCTAACTAAGGCAATAATAGAGTGTACAATCTTCCCTATTAATAGTAGCTAAGGTAGTATTACTCGTGCTAAAGTATCATCTTCCCCAATGAACGATGTCAACCAAAATAAGACTAGGTTTAAAGAGATTTGATTGTAGTCAGATTAAAAATGACATGTCGTGAAACAAATAATTCATTGACTATTACTCCGATCGATGTAGGATGTTGTAAGTTGACTTGGTGAACTCCACAATATGCTAATAATAATAATGTCTTGGAAACTGTGAGTATCGTGGTGTAGAATCGTTCATACAAACGTAATTGCCTTCACTAATTATCGAGAATACGTAGACTACTACTCTTGCCCACCTTAGATGACTGTTGTGTCATTACATTTTTGCTCACTTTTCGTATGGTCGTTTTATATGTGACAGCATGAAGTGATGGATTCACAAACAGTGTTCTAATTTCATTCCTATTATTTCTTCTAGCTTGTCTGAGTTTATTTATAGCGGTAACAGTGTAGTTATATAATTTGTTTTTCAAAGTGTAAGTTACCCATTTATGAATAGTTTGCAAATTTTATGAAGGCGTGATCTCTTCTGTTCATTTGCTGAAGTTAGCTGGAATGCTGAATGATACACTACCACTAACCTGTTCACTTGTTTTCATTTTTCAATCTAATCTCATACATGATTTCTCGTAAAAATAAAAGTCGAATAATAGTATATTTTTTAAGAAGTACGTATCTTTTGAATTTTCTGCCTCAATATAATCAACCACACACATTTAAACAATTCAATTGAATGTTTTTACTTATGTATTCAGTGTCCATTATTTACGACACTAAAAGAAAATACAAAAGCTATAAAGTTGTTTTTATTTTCAGAAAAAGAGTGAGCGTGATTATTAATTTCTTCATAAAATTAGTATGCTTTACACCTCCCTCTTCGGAAATAAAGATTACCTGCCTTCTTTAGAATATATTTCAGTTACTAATTTTATGGTATTGAAAAGAATTTTATTCAATAGTATAGTGAATGTATTTAAATAAATCAAATTATTAACTTCAGAATATTTGACGCTAACATTTTCAACTTATGATGAATGAATGAAGGATGACTTAAAGCCCGCTGTCTTTATAAATACACAAAATGAATGCATATTTATCGTGAGTATAAGATTTGGTTTTTTGCTAGAATAAAATTCTTTATTAAAAGAAGCTAATTCAGTTCGCAACTAATCATGGTTAATTGATTATATATATATATATATATATATATATATATATATATATATATATATATATATATATATATATAAATGCTAGGTTTCTTGATTTAATTGACCAGTTCATTAAGATGCCTACGATATCAATCAAGTATAATATGTCTATTAAAAATTCATAGAATAGTTTGATATCCTGAAAACTATACGGCATGTTGATGTGACTGAACGGACTAAGACACTGAACTTAATAATAATACTGAATGCGACTATTCTATTTAAGCGCCTTTTGTTCCATCGAGTTGTGAAAATGTGAAGTGACAAAGACGGATCTGTGACTAAGGAAGACTCTACTGGGAAAAAAATATACCACATATAATGATAATGGCTTCATTTCAAACGGTGTGTTTGATAGGATGTGAAATTTCAGCATGTAGTACAGTATTGCGTCTAATTTCCTTCTTACATTATATATATATATATATATCAGGGCATTTACATTGATAAAAATGTCAATAAGAATATGAATGCAGAATTTAAATTTAGTAGAGACATTTACAAGGATATATTGACGAAACAAAGAATACAAAAGAGATGTTACCTTACTGTTTCTCAGTAAGCTAGTAGTTTCATACCTAACACTTTTCTCGTCACATGGAATGCATGCCAAATAAGGTGACGTAGAGTTGTTATGCTTAGTCGTCCGAGTATAAGGTATTTTACAATTGCTTCTATTCCAGTCTAATGAGGTGCAATGGGAGGGTTGTGTATAAGGAAGGTACTCAGAGTCAAGTATGATGATAATCACCAGTTTCTCGTATCAATTTAAGTGGTTGTGGATAACAATATTAATGAGTTGGCTTAAGATACCTCAATCGCGCTACCAACAGCTTTTAGTGCCCTTGGCAATATAGCAAAATCTTTTTCAAGTAGTCCAGAAAAGATTAAGCTGAGGGAGAAATAAAGAAGATTAGGTAGAATACGAGAGTTAAAAAAAAACTGTAAAATTACAGACCAAGTGACTTGACATTCTTTTAACTTCCTTATGTATTGGGTTAGATGAAATGCCTTTGTAGAAATTCATATAATGTGGGAAGACCACGAAAGTTCAAAGGAAAGGCAAAACAAGGTATTTATCTTCTGATTTAATTTCAACTTCAATGCTTTCTACAATACAAGAATTATGGGAACTAACCACTGCATGTAAATCACATTTTCCTCATGAGACTAGAATTCTATGGTTCATCTTTTCCAAATTTAAGTGTATCAAGGCAATATAATATTGTTTCGTTAACTCTTCAGTGGTTATTATTTGCAGTCATGTTTCTTTTTAAAAAACGCTGAACTCTATACTTTGTAAAATGACATTTTTGTGGGTGACGTTTCAATGCTAATCCAGTAGTTTTCCCCTCTGTAATTCTGTGGATAGATATTTCAGTGGTAACGTGTCTGATTGTAGCACTGGATGATGTGATTTCGAATCTCAGAAGGGACATGAGTTCCTTTGAGATTTCAGATACGCCTTGTTGATGAGTGCTGAATAGCACGAAATCTAGGTCTAAGGCTTCCTGCCGATCGCCTCCAACCATCTAATACAAACAGTGCACCGTGTTGGCGAGCCACATTGCAAACTTGACTGATAGAATTCAGTCTCCACGAAAAATAGGACTAGACAAATTACACTAGTGTCCAATCCTCAATTATAATTTAGAGAAAAATAGCGATGGATGATAGTATCCACAAAATTAATACGAGTGAATTAAGTTGGTAAAGAAGCTGGTGTTTATTGTTATGTTATTGGTTGTTAGTAGTGTAATTCCTGAGGTACACAAATTTATCTGTGACTTATTAGCAATAATAAGCATTGACCTCCTCAACAGGAAATTATATATATAACTACATAAAAACTTATTCATTTTTTATAAAATTGGTGATTATCAAAGGCTTAGTTGTTTAGATCAATTTTTAACATCTGAAACTCTAAGTCATAGTTTCAAGGTGAATAGCACTATCACTCATTTACTGGAATTCCGGTGAGTCGACCTGATGCACTCGACACCGGACAAACGTTATAGATTACCTACAACTTAAATATTTACTTGTCTGTCTATTAATCAATTCATTAGTGAAACAACATACATAGTCTAGTTAGCTAAGAAAATTAGTGCAACTGT